TTGTGAAATTCATCTAAGATTAGGGATGTCCCGATCACCTTTTTTTGCTCCTGATCCGATTCCGATCATTTGATTTTGACAATCTGCCGATACCGATTTTTCCCGATCCGATCTTTATGCAATGCATTGAGAAAAAAAAGGTAACAGATAACGGCTGGTCATCCAACGCGATGAATTCAGCTATCTTGGCTGTTATTTGTTTGGCCTTTTCACTGTTCTATGGCAGTTTCTCTTTCCTTTTAAAAGTCTCCGCCTTGCAAACATTGCATCTGGCTGTTACACTGCCTTCACTTTCAATATTATAATATTATATCCCGAGTCACCAGCTGAACGTAGCCTCTCGTTAGCTTACTGCTACTATTAGACACTGCGCCCACTCTGTTGCCAGATTTGAGAGAAATAAGCAACCAGGTCTGAAAACAAGCCCACAAGAAGCAACACATACATGATGTTGTGTAATTTTAAACCAAAACTAAGGCCTCAGGATGACTTTAAGACGTGAACATGGTCATTTTTGTTTTGTAACATTAAATTAAAAAAAATTCCGATCCCCGATTTTTTCAAAATCACGTGATCGGATCGGGACATCTCTATCTAAGATTCTTTATTGTATTGCTCAAATTGAACCTGCTAATAACTAGATTAAATGAAGGGTCTATATACATTTTTCACACTTGTTTTTGTCCACAGGCTCCAGACAGGCCCTAGCCCAGGAGACGACCCCCACCAGCCTCCGTCTTCACAAACCAGCCGCCGCCTCGCCCCTCACCACCCAGCAGGCGCACCGCCTCCACAGCCCCAGCCCCGCCATCCTCAACTTCACCCTGCAGAACCTGGGCCTGATCTCAGGTTCCAGCCCGGGAAGCCTCTTTGCGGCCCCCCAGACCCCGGAGGGTGTCAGCAGCATGGCCAGCCCTCTGGCCTTGCAGCAGAGAGGCATGGTGTTCATCAAACCTGTGTCCCCTGTGCCGGTGCAGCAGTCTCTGTCAGGGCAGCCCATGACCCTGTTCAGCCTACAACAGGTAACAACTCATGCTTGTGTTTGGATAACATCTGGAGTATAACAATATTCCATCACATACTTCTTTTAAACATAACAAATGTGGCCTTATATCGCAAAGCATTCAGAATATGTCATTCGAATGGGGTTTTTACCCCAGTCTGCGACACACGAGACAACCATTTTGACACTAGGGACAATCTCTAAAAATCTGTCTCTCCCAACTGAACAAACTTTACGAAAGGGAATCAACTTTGTATTATCTTCTCAAGGTGAAGATAGGAAGTTCTGAACATGTTACTTTACAGATCACACATTTTGAAATACTTGGCAAATAGCTGTTGGGAGGTAAATATGTTGCCGTTTGCCCTTGAAACAACATAAAATCCCATCTGCTGGTGTTGTTTAAGGTTCAGTTTGCACATACCACAACAACAAAGGCGTGGGAGCCAGTGTAGCAATGGGGATAGTCTTGGTCTTCAGACTTCATTGCAGACGTTTATTTAGGAGAAGTTAGTTCCTATGAAAACTGATTGCATTGGAGCAGGGACATTTTCTCTTGAACTCACCCTTTAACCTCTTAAGCCCTGAGCCTGTTTTTCAGGTTTCAGGCTCGAAAATGCCACTAACACAACAAATGATATATCTTCACTTCTAAAAGGGGTAAATTAATAATAATTTGGTGCAGAGCCTTCAGCATATTCCAACATCTCTGCAGCCAGCTGCTCCCTGAAAGTCTTCTGTGTGTGTGGCTTTGTCCTGCTCCTCATCTTGAACAGCTCCTTGTGGAGAAGGAAGCTGTTCACCACGGCAATGTCCATAAAATGGAGAAAAAAAAGAGTCTTGTACCATTTCATTGTTTTGTGGAGAACGCTGTAGTACCCGATCAAAGCGTCAGACACATCCACGCCACCCATGCTTCGGTTGTAATCCAACACAGCGTCAGGAATGGCAACAGTCTTAGTCTGCCAAACAGCAGCCTGTTTCACTTTCCTCCTGACAGTCTTTCCACTGAAGGCTGCCTGCACTGTGGAGCACATGGTCACTTCACGGCTGTCCATCCACTTTATGAACAGGAGTTTGCCTTCCCTTATCCACCGCAGATCTCCCCTTTCAGCCTTTTTCTGGCTGGCGTGAAATTCAGTGGCTCTGGTGTTTGGTCATTCTCCTCTCTATTGTGCCACCCGAGTTCTTCTTCTGTCGTTCTGGAAGAGGAAGAACCTCGGCCACGCTTCCTGGGTTTTACACATTTATCTGATGCTTTTCCTGGCTGAGGAGTGGGAGCCCCACCTCGGCCACACTTCCTGGGTTTTACAGATGTGTCTGACGCTGCAGAAAGCAGACGATGGTAGCTTTGGAAGTGAGTGCTTTTTGGATGCAGGCTGAGTGGCCAATACTGGTGCAGATCTCTTTCTAGTGAAAGGTGAGGCAGAAGTTGAGGAATGTGAGGGTGAGGCAGGTGTGGGCTGGGTGAAAGTAGACAATGGTTGGGGTCCAGAAGCCATTTCATCCTCATCTCCATCACTATGAAAACAAATGTGGAATAACAAAGAAATTAGATGAATTCCTATAATTCCTGTTTCCTTGGCAGTAAACATGGCATTTTGAGTCTGTGAATGCAATACATTTAGTGACTATAGACGAACACTGGCCTATACTTTTAGTAAATGTAACGGACAATAAACACTATTTGGTATTTTTGTAAATAATCCCTCTAATTCCTGCCAAACATGCCATTTTGCGTGTGAATTTACATTACATTGCATTTCATTTAGCAGACGCTTTTATTTACTATATGAATAATCGTACACCAAATAAATAAGTAATAGATAAAAACAGAGAGATTTCATACCTTTGCCGTGGTGGAATTTCGTCATCAGTCACAACGGTCCGGGTCCCGTTCTGGCTGCAGGAGATCCTCGTCGTCTGACTCAGAATCAACAGGTAACATATCTGATTCGCTGTCAACATTAGTCACAATTTCCATTGCCTGTAAAGTAGTAAGCATCTCTTTCCTGTGAGCCGTTATTTGACAAAAGTCAAAGTACAGAAAAAGTCCTAAACGCAAATATTGTAATCTGCTCTGGTATCTGCTGTCCGCTCTGTGCTCCGTGCGCTCTGGGTCCTGCTGCAATTCCTGCTTCGTTACGTTGTAAACAATAAATGAAGTCGGCTGCGTAATGTTGTTACGCTGGCTGGCATTCTTTATACTTTACGCAGGACCATATCTCTGGAACCCATTGGTCGATTCGTGTGATTTACACCTTTTTCTTAACCATCAGAACCAATAGAATCGATGGGCAGTTCCCAAATCTACGTAAACATTACCATAGCGGACGTAATAGAGAAGCAAACGAAGCATATCTGAAAGTGCAAGCCTGGACGGCAATACTTTATACCGAGTATATTGCCATAAATATGATGATTGATTATCAGTAAAAATGTCTACGTGACTCAAAGACATTGGATTAACCTTGAGATGCGTTTTTATTCTGTTGAACACAACTTTTGATCACAAATCAAAAAAGGTAAGACGTAATTATTGTAATATTTTTGGAACCGGATGTTGTTTACTTTCTCTTTTCTGGCTGATAGCTCCAGGAATTCGAGGTCTTACAGTGATGATTACATGTGTGGAATCTGTGGAGTCTCAGCTTTAAATCGTATATCTTGTTTGTGCAGTTAAGATAGTAATAAGGGCATTTATACCGTGTGTTGTGTGTAAAAAAGCGTTAGCATTAGTTAGCATTGTTTCGCTCAATGCTAATTCAAAGGCTTGGTATTACTCTTGTGTTTTTTTTAGCTAACAATTGTTCTTATTGTCAGTTAGCGGAGTTTCTTACCTTTAAAAGGGTATGAAACATTAATAGTTTCATAAATGTTAAGGAGCCCTGAGACATAGTCTCGAAAAAAAACTGTGGGAGGGGTCCACTGGGGGGACCTTCGGGCTTAAGAGGTTAAGATGAAACCCTCACCCATCACTATCTGTCCCGCAGCCCCTGATGACCACCCCCAAAGGGACGGCTCTCCCCCAGCACAGCTTCTTCCACACGCCGGTCCACCTCTCCCCTCTGGCTGCCATGGTAACCCCAGGTGGACAACTGGCCCCCAACACAGTTTACATCCCTCAGAGGAAGCTGGACGTCGCCACTGAGGAGTCCTGAGAGCCCCGACAGAAACCCTCTGATGAGTGTGTACTTTGAGTGTGTGTATGGGTGGTGTTTGTGTTGGGTGACCTTTTATCTTCTGTCTGGTTAGCATTTCACAGTATTCATTACCTCCCAACGTTTCACAGCAGCCTTACTGTCTTCACTTTGAAACAAAGTTACCAGAAACTCATGAACATTATTGTTATTCTGGTAAAAACTGTTTTGCCCCAACTTTATTCTGCATAACTTCATAGATATTGAATTTTCTTGTTTTTTTTTTTTTTGTTTGTTTATTTTAGTAATTTCTCCTAAAGTTGGTGATGTGAACACCAATTCCTTTTCATCAAATTACCAAGAGTAGTAAACAAAAAATCAATGCTGTAAAGGGCAACACACTTAAGTCAGATGGACGTTTGACTGAAAGACAAGTATGATTGGGAACCATTGTTTTATGATCATTTAGTCTCTAAGTGAAACCTTATGCAAAGACGTTTGCACATATGTACATGTTACCCCTGGTAAGAATATGAGAATATTTGTGATTGTAAGACTAATCAGACTTTTTCAAAAGTTTAATTTATAAGGAAATTACCTTCTGTATCTGTTGTCTTGTTAAATGTAAAATGTTAATTGAATTTTAATACATTTTTCTATGAACATCATGTGAAGTTGGTCTCCGTTGTCGTCTCTACGGTGATACAATATTATGGGATTGGAATCAGTCCATGCTACAAACCAAAATCATCATTGAAGATGAAACTGTTTATTATTTTTACTACGATTGTTTGATCTATACAATTTAAAATACTGATCCCTAATTCCCAGTGCTCTAGGTTACATTGCATGATTTTTGACTAAACAGGTTGACTCCGTTTACAATCATATCTAATGCAAATAAGCAGCAAATTGTCATATTAAAAAGTCTTGAATTTAAACTCTTGCGTGTAAGTGGGAGTTGTAAGTATTATTTAAATCTTTAAAGGTAGATGCGTCAGAAAGTCCCTACATCTCACTTTCAACCATAAATACGACTAAAGCTGTTTATTTCCTCACCCGATTACACATTTTCCATTGTGTTGTACCTTTTATTTGAATAGCTGAACAAATGGATTCAGAGGTCACGAAACAGGATGTTTTATTCGCATAGCTAAAATAGTTCTTTACAATTTAGGCGTGTAAATCACAAGTCTCTTCACGATACAATATGTCAATTCTTTGTGAAACTAGAAAAGTCTGCCAAGATGCAAGTTTGATTCAATTTAATTCAGCGGGCTGGTATTAATTTGAGACAAGATGCTACATTTATATTTAATCAAAAATAATAAAATGTGATTTGACTTTGATTTTTGATGAAAATAAAAAATTATATATATTTATGTATAGAAATGTCCTAGAGTTGATATGAGTTTTTTTAGGAGTAGCCTATGAGTCATTGGTCATTGAATCAATACAGATCGATGGATTGTTAGAACCTTAGTAAAACATCATTTGGATGTGACAACTTTGAAAATGGACACATACAGGTGAACCATTTTGATTTAGGTGTCAACACTGGCTCTCTTCTGGTGAAACCTTAACATTTAACCCACAACAAACTACAGTTTCCATTTTACCAAGAAGCTATTTTGCCTTCTGGGGCGTAATGAGCATCACATGGTCACTCATGTATCTAAAGAGATGTAATCACAGTCAGACATGCAGTTGCTTTCCCGTCATACATCATCCCATAACCATGTGGATAACTCCCTGCTCCCAGCTGTCTTTAGAGTTCTGTTTAGAGTTTCCGGTGTCTGCCTCTGAGTCCAGAACAAATGTTAGCCTGGCTGATGTTCAGACCTCTTTCAGTGATGAAGGGTCCGAGGGCTCTGCTCTGTCACAAGTTATTTTTGGAGGATATTGTCATTTTAGCGTCACCAGTGGACTGTGGTGATGGCGAGACAGGCAGTATATAAACCGCCTGGGATGCATTCACTGCCACTGAAGCACACAGACCGTGATTCAAGGTAAGGACCCATTTATTTTTGTAGTAAAATGTCCTGTTCGTAGTTCAGTTAGGGTACAACTTGGGGCTAATTCATGTTTCTTTATTTTTGTTTTCATAGATGTAATTACATTAATTTTATCGTACATTGCCTATTTTTGCATGAATTGAAACAATGGGCAAGTGTGATATGGCAGATTTGTCTGGAGTAGAATCATTTCCAGTAGTATTTGATGGAGTGTCTTTTGTCTATCTGAGGTCCCATTAAAGCCTCTGCTCCCAGAATATCACATTCCAGTCCTGTGAGGTGATGGGCAGCCTCTGATATGAGCAGGAACTGGAGTGTCGGCTGACAATAGAGTCGAATTGAGATGAGAAGCTTTAAAACTGATGGGGAAATACAAGTCGTGCTTTGTAAGAGACTTTTAAATCATCAGACTGGAAATTAAGAAAGACACAGGAGGTCAAGACATCACAATGAGGTGTGGTTAGGTTTTTAGAATGTATGGTATGGTAAGATATGCTATTTTTGATTTCAATTTGAACTCTAAAAGCATTATTTTGGCTAAAATCATTTTCAACCCACAATCCTGGTGGTGCAGATCTCTTTTATTTTGGAGCTGGAACAATTACTTTATAAAAATGTACTTAAAACATTATGATAAATCTTCAAATTGTTTAGAAACAAGTATGCTCTCACTCTCAATTCAGCTTCTGAAATGTAAAAGAAAATCAGTTTTTCTGCAGTTTCATATAATCATAAACTGAATGTCTGAGTTTTTTGTTGGTTGGTCAGACATAAGGGATTTGAAGACACTAAGATATATTATGGGCACACTTCACTTGATTAAATTATTTACACAAAAAACAAGAGTAATCTTTAATGACCATTATTGGTTGGTCAGGCCCTATTAGACTATTTCACATTTGAGAGAGTCAGTAATCTTCAATGAAATTAGTCATTAAGTCATCTAAGCTTGTTTTATTTTGTTTTTCTAAGATGCCAAACTTGGGAGGTGGAGCTAAGTGTGCGGCGTGTGAGAAGACAGTGTACCATGCAGAGGAGGTCCAGTGTAATGGCCGGAGCTTCCATAAGACCTGCTTCATCTGCAGTGAGCCCCTCTCTTTGCTGGACCAGTGTGTCGTGTGTCATGGTAGATCAGCAGAGTAAAGAGCGGTGTAACATTGTTTCAGTCCCATTTGCTCTTATTGACACATCAAGGGGCCATCTGCTTCTGAACTGTCAGAAGACTCACAGCAGCCTCTATCTGAATCACTCTCTTCTTCAGTAAATCTGCTTTTAGTTTTATTTGTTCGCATTTTTTACTTTATTTGTTCCATTCAAAGTGTTCAAAACCGTCTCTTTTCTTCCTCTTCTTTTTACTTTTTTCTCTTTTGTGTTTCTTTCAAAGATCTATGTATTTCTAATCTGCCTACTTCCTTTCTTTTCTCCTGGCTTTGTTACTGCTATTTCTTTCCCTTCCCCCCATCGTTTGTCTGACTTCATCTCCTCTTTTCCCTCATCTCTATATTTTAATAAAATAATCTCACTCTTTTTATAATTCAACCTCCTATTGCTGCTCTTTTCTTTTCACTGTTAAACAAGCACTGGCCATATTCTCTCATTAATTACATTTACTCTATAGACATGTCCTTTTCCTCATCCAATCTGTTCTAGTTATTGAATAGCCTTTCTTGGACTTGGACGGTGGAGTTCCCCCTCCTATCCTTTGGTTTGACCATCTGTAATGACTTGAATATCTCCTGCTGTGATGCAGTTAAGGTTCTTACTCCTTTGTCCCTCACCAGCTGCAGTTATCTAATCAAGGCACACCTCATGTTCTTATTGCTTTCTTCAAACCCCCACCAGCTGGTAACATGTGAGCCTGTGTGACTGCTGGATTGTTCCAGTGGGAGCTCTAAAAGCCTGCTATTAGCTCAACCATCATGCTAAGTGTTCATCTTTTCTCGAACATTCACCTCACACCCTCTCCTCTTCCTACAAATAGAAACACAAGACATCTGTCTTTGTGTAATGTCACTGTTGACTGATAAAACCAGCTAAGTGGGAGCTGTATTTACCCTCCATGACTCCACCATGACACTCCCCGCTAGGCAAACTGAATCCATTCTCCCTAGCCTTGTGGTCAGACAACATATGATGCAAATGTCTAGTATGTTTGTGTTTCTTTCACACAGTGGGCTGCAGAAAAGGGCTGGACAGCACCACGGTTGCAGCACATGAGTCTGAGATTTACTGCAAGTCCTGCTATGGCAAGAAATATGGGCCCAAAGGCTATGGATACGGGCAGGGAGCTGGAGCTCTGAGCTCAGACCCTCCTCGATATGCCGGCCTGCAGCCTCAAGAGTATGTGTTCACTGCGGTTAGAAACAGGAGCCTGGGTTTTCATTAAAGGGTCATTCCACCCACATCTAGAGTGAATGGTGTTGAGCCACATAGGGGTTTTTACAGGCACATTATTGAAGATATCCACCTGTAACTCCAGTATGAAGAAGGTTCCGTTCTAAACAGCTGCAGAAAAGTGTCTATTTTAGTCTTAAACTTAATGTTGTTTATCTTCTACATTTAAGGAAAAAAACAGTAAATAAAGCTTTAGTGTAGCTACCATGATGTCTTACTGCTCTTTCAGAGAAAGTTCCACTCTGACATGAGTGAAAAACTATTGAATATGATTGTGAATATATAAAAGGAATGGTGTATATAACATATCAAAACCCCACAATAATCAAACTACATGTACGAAAGTCAAACTCTAGTGACCAGAGATCATTACAAATGTTTTTGTTTTAAATTATTTTTTTCTAGGACTAAACCACGACCAGCTTCTTCAAATTCTAGTGAGAATAAATCCTCCCAGAAGTTTGGATGTTCAGACCGCTGCCCTCGCTGCTCTAAAGCCGTCTACGCAGCAGAGAAGGTGATGGGAGCAGGGAAGGTAAGCTGTAGTCTGTTGTAATTGTATGTATACAACCTTTTTCTACGGATTATACTTCATTGTTGTTGTTACTGTCCTGTGGCACTAGCAGACAGACAGGATGCTTCTTTAAAAAGTGTTTTAATTGTTGTCCATAAAACTACCAATGTGTTCTTAGAGCCCAAACAAGAGGTGAAACAGGAGCAGAGAATAAGGAGCTTTGCTTAGGGACAGACAGAAAAGCCAGTAGCTCTTCTAACTGGGCAGTTGCAGGCAGGAACCAAAACCACAGCAAAAATAATTAAACTCTAGCAGAAACTCTGTGGCAAAGTCATTGCCCTCAAACAGAGACTGAAGGTGATGAACTCCCAAAGGCTGACGATCTGATTGAGAAAGGCTGAGTGAGTGCAGACAGCTGCAGACACTGTCAGCCATGATGGAGTAACGAGATGCTGACGGAGCTGGGACTCAGTTCAGGGATTTGTAACAGCCAGCATGAGAAGTCTATACTAATGGGACAATTGGTTATGTGCAATCATGATGCATTCATACTGTAACAGTAACAGAAACATTCTGGCCCCAAAATACATTATTGCACACACACAAGCTAGAAAATGTCTAAAAAACAACCAACCTGACTGTTAGACAATTACAACAGAATTGTAGGCCCTAATATTTAATGAAATCAACTGCAGATCATTAAGGACCCAATAACATACATCCTTGTGACCTTAATGACCTTTCCTCTGAGGATATGGTCACATTACCTTTCCAGTATGACTAAATGTACTTTAAATTCATTTAAAATTGGACAACTTAAATTGTAAATGTCCTGTTATTATGTACTACCAGTTTTAACTGTGTTTGAAAATGTACATTTTGAAGTTATCAAAAAGGTGGCCTACATCGCTAACTGTAGTCACCTTGACAAAGTTTATAGGTTTTAAGATCAAGTTTGTTCAGTTTAGAAGAAAGTATTTCTTAACCTTTATTTTTTACATTAATAAAGGTTAAGAAATTGAGTTACATAATACTCAATACTTGTATAATAACCGTGTATGTGCGTGTGTGTGTGTAGCCCTGGCATAAAACCTGTTTCCGCTGCGCTCTGTGTGCTAAAAGTCTGGATTCGACCACAGTGACAGACAAGGAGGGAGAGCTGTACTGTAAAGGTACACACACTGGAAATTGGCTAGTTTTTCAGAAATAAAAATGGCAGTTACAACCCTACAACTTTTTTATAGAACAGGAAGCATTTTTATTTGTGGTATAACTTGAACTTATTCTTGTTTTTCAAAATTCTCTTCAGTTTGTTACGCCAAACACTTCGGCCCTAAAGGATTTGGACTGGGGAACGCCGCCATGTTGGAGTAACAGCAGTGAACCATTCTGGTTTAAGGTTCACATCACTGTCACACAGCAGCTGTTTCAATGGAGCCATACACTGGATGATATTTGTAATGCATGATTGAAGCACCTGGTCAAATAACAGCTGAGTCGAGGCATATTTAAGGTCACTATTAGAGATTAACTAATAATACTTATGTTCATTGTGAGTACACAATAAAATGATTTTGTTACCCTAAAATGTATCCTGAATTGATTTATTCTTTATTAAAGTGAAGAAATAATTTAAATACAGTCTGTGGTCCATGTGTACCTCACACGCAGAAAAGAATAGGAACCACTCATAATTAAAATAATTAGATAATCCTTTTGTTTGTAAAATAACTTATTATAGTTTTGATGATTACAACTTGCCCAACCCTGCCTATTAGTCAATTAAATGATTTCCTTACCGCTGAGAAGAAAATTAGCAGTCTCATTTTGTTAAAGTTAATTATTTATCAAACTGTTTTTGCATTCATAAATAATTCTTTGCCATAATTAAATTACATTTATCAGGGCAACAAGTGATTAACCAATGGAACGTGTTAGCTTCCCAAACAATTATGTGTGAGCAGCCGTGCAGAGCGTAACGGGATTAGATGTTTTTGTCAAGCTAAAATTAGAGCCTTTATCTGGCACTATCAAATTAGCAGTGATGAGAACATGGAGGAAACCATTCAGAGCAAAGAGTGTGCCTTTGGGGGCTACCTTAACAGACTCATTTCATATGAAACAAAGACATGTGTCTCAATTTTAATACAAAATATAAGTAAATAGACTTTTGAAGACAAAATTGTGACTGTCAGGTCGGTTGATGGTGACACATCATGCTGCAAAAAAGTCAAGAATAGGTTCTTTCTGGTTAGGAAGTCTTCAAAATCAGGGTTGAAAAATGACCAGGGTTAAACAATCTGCAAAAGCTGGACATTTATGAGCCTCGACACATAGATATTTACTGATTTACAGTGTTTCTATTATATTGTCCACCCCTGTATGTAAAGGCCTGATAGTCCACACAGAGCCAGTTAAGAAGACAGGCACAACATTGCTTTACTGAATAGTGGTATTTGTTATCAAACATGCAACTCTTACAAAAGTCATAAAACCAACTGTTTACACGTACAAAGGTCCTTCTTTCCATCAGAACATGATACAAAATAGGCTTGATGTGTTTATAAAAACATCTCCTAACTTCAAATTACAATTTAGGCCTTTAAAGGTTTTTGAACCTCACCAAAATTAACACATTTGTGTGATTTCACTTACATTGGTCAAGTATAAGGCAGCAGCAGTCTTTACAAAGAGCAACCGGAACAAATGATATCTACACGATGCCTTGTGTTTCCCAACTTCTCTCTTCACATGGAGCCAACCCTTTAAAAAAATAAATAAATACACTTTGTGCTTTTGGTTCAGAACCACTGTGAGAGTCCGACCCTCGACCCTGAGAGTGGGGTGGCAGGGAGGGGTCAGACCAAGTCGGTGTGTCCGAACCCGTGCTGGTCGCGGCCGGGGGGGAACTGCTGCGTCCAGTCGATGATGGCCGGTTTGAAGAGGCCGCAGCAGCGCAGCTGGAAGAACGACGCCAGGTTCCTCATCACGCCCAAACTGCAGACACACCAATCAGGAGAGGGGGATCAGTGAGTGGTGACTAAATAAAATATGTTTTTGATATAAAATGCCGTCATGGTGTGCAATATTGTTCACACGGTTCATGTCTACCAATGATATTTAAAATGTGTTTTTCTGTACTCATTTATATTTTTGGAATTGTATGTGTTTCCTGAAACTTGCATCTTTAGGGAAATATAAAGCATGTTTTGAACTGATGGTGCTGAAAGAGTATGAAAAAGATTGATTCGTGTTTATAAAACCTTCATATGAATGTGCCATCCTTTAACCTAGTAGTATTCTTTCCTCAGAAATCAAGTCCAGCATTGCAAGCTTTCAATGATGTCCATTTGATATAATAACTCTGTCTTCTTCTTATTTAACAAATCACTGGACTTTTATAAAAATAATTTCTAAAGTTAACTTCCAAAGCAGAGCTCCATCTGTTCAAGGCCCAACAAACTAAGCTTATTCAAGCTCTATCATTCCATCTTATTATCACACTTTTTCAGGTAAGCCACTTAGTATTGCCGCTTGTAGCTCCATAGATACTGAATAGAGTGTTTGGCACTGTGTGTTTAATAATGAATCAGGGGGAATATGCAAGAAGACATGCATTAATACAAAAGACCTTGACTGAAAACACATAAAGTCCCCCTGCATCCTAATTAAACTCAGTCATTAACTAAAGACATGTATCCTCTGAAGTCACATGTAGATTTAAAGTGTTTTCCACCGGAAAGAAATCATTGGCATCAAAGAGCAGCGCTCAGTAAAATCGTTGTAAAGGATTGTGACGACAAAGTGGCGTCAGTAATATGAACTCACTTGTATGGATTCTGTTTGAGGGGGACAGGCTGTCGCTGTTTCCTCTGGTGCATCGTCAGGCTGGTCCGCTCTGCTGTGGTCAGTCCCAGGAAGGCAATCTGCTCCGGCACAAAGAAAACATCAAACACTGAGGAGACATTTCCAATCGAACTCTAAATGGTTTTATATGCAATATTTGAACATTTCAGGGATGAAAAGACAGTAGGGATGTAACCATATACCGAATATCGCGGTAAATAAACGTCCCAATACCGTCGTGAGACTGACAATATCTACCGCGATTTTTTTTTTTTAAACACTTTTTTTTAACCAGGTGGTCCCATTGAGATCATCGATCTCTTTTTCAAGAGAGACCTGTCCAACATGGCAGCAAGTAGGTTACAACATGAACATAAAACAACAGAACACAAAAGGACATCGTATTTACAGGGCTACATTTACACACCTAGAGACATTGACAAGTACCAACAGTATATTTATATCTCGCCCTGTCAATAATCCTCACCTTCTTGGCAAAAACGGTATTGTTTTTGAAGTGGTGGAGAGACAATGCAGTTTGACCCACTGCTGTCACCCATGGCCAAAGCATATCTCTCCGTCCCACTGAGGTGGCGTAAGACTTTTTCGCTGTCCGTCATTTTGACAGACAGGATCGTAAAATGTCCGTCATAATCCCTTATTACCATAGTTTATTACCCGTCGGGTCTGAACAGTTCACAAGAGAGCACGCTCGTGAACTGTCAACGGGGGGGGGGCGGTGTTATGCCGTGTGTGCATGCACCTCGCGGGAGCGCACACAGCGTAAAGCAAAACCTCCCAGACATGTGTTGATCTGTACGGCAAAGTATGGTTTGGAAACTATATAATTTCCTTTTGGAGGGCATGCATAACACGGCATAACACCAGAGCCTCGCTGCGGGGAAACGTTGGCGCTGTTCCGAGTTTGTTCTAATCTGTCAAAATGACAGACTGCTTTCAGATTTTTCCGTCATTGTTAAATAAAATATTCCTTTAACGCGACCACTGCTGTCCCAGCAACATCAGTACCAAGCGAGAGAGTTTTTTACAGAGCAGGGGATATTGTAAATGCCCAAACATCCCAGCTTATAAATACCTGGAAATGTGGACATTCTCATATTCCTAAAAACCTGTCTGATGATGCTGAGTGAGTGACTAGTGAGTGTGAGTTGAGTTACTTGAAAAACTAAAGTGAAACTTGATTTATTTTATTGCAGGGTCTAATTATTAAATGTCCTTGTTTATTTGTGAGATGCAGTGGCGCAAAGAACATGCCTACTCTGTTTGGTAGTACTAGTAGGTACAAAAACACTGGTTTTCTTGTTCCAGTCTGTTACTGTCACTTTGTTTTTGACACTTTAAAATACTGCTATCCGACTAAAATGCTGTTCAAATCAGATTTATTATTTAATAAAGAAACATTTTCCGAGTAACATTTTTTTTCTTTTCCCTTTATTATTCAATATCGCGATAAATACCGTACCGTGGACTTGTTATCGCGATATTATCGTACCGTGAGTTTTTGGTATCGTTACATCCCTAAAAAGACAGTGATCATTACATCTTTAATGTTCAAAAAGGTCTTGTTGTGTTGGAGACAAAACTCCGTCTGGAGGGAACTTTGGGATTTTAGCCTATGCAGACCATTTACATGCACAAAAACCTAAATAACACACTCATTCGGAGGTCTCTCTTCAGTTTGAGTCTGGATTGTATGACACTCCTGATAGGATCTTTGCGGTCACCTGGTAGAGCTGCAGCAGCAGCGTGAGGCCGGACCAGCAGGTGTGGTAGAAGGCGAGCAGGAAGACGCTGAGCAGCCAGGGGGAGCAGGTGACCAGCACCGAGACCACCCCCCACAGGCCCTGCTCCTCGTAATGCAGCACACAGTGAGTCGCCCAGTCTGGAAAACACACACAGCACAGGCATGTGTATCAAGAGGAGTGTATACTGCGTCAGAGTCTGTTATTACACCAAATGCAAAAGTACTAACATTTGAGGCAACCGTAGAACATCCAGGCCCCCATCAGCATGAGGGAGAACAGGAAGAGGATGAAGTAGTGGTGGTTCCTCGCACCTGGAAGACAAAGCAGAAAGGTGATTTTTTCTTATTATATCAAAGATTTTCTTTGGGCACAAATGAGTTATAAGCAGCCTTTTTTAAGATCATCCTTACACTACCTATATGACAATAATATTTTTTGTTTTGTACCAATGTTTTTGACACAGATAGAGTACATGTCAATGGTCCAGTTTTACCAGTGTGAATTTTGATGCAAATTAAACTTTTTCAGGCCCTTAATAAAGCACCTCCACTATTAGAGAAACAAATATTTAACATATTTTTATATTTATAACATTATTCTCAAGTGTGTAAATGTTTAATTTAATTTAATAAAATGTTAAGTTCCAATTATTTTATTTGCTGCTATTACTGTTTTATTACGGTAATATTTATAATATTTGTTTTTTATTTACCTACACGGGTAAATATAATCACATTTTTCTAAATAACACTTTCTGAAGATGATGTTCATGTAACAAAACACGTCATTAATGTATCTTCTCTAATGCCTGGTAACTTGCTCCGAGGAGTCGTACCGATGCAGCCGTTGGTCCAGATGGAGTGGTGGTCCTGCTTGGCCACACAGGCGTCACAGTTAAAGCAGTGGTTCGTTCTCATCGGTTTCTTAATCTGTGAAAACCATAACAAACACAATAATCGGCACTGCTTGCGTTGATA